TTGAGTACTATAAAAATATATATGTTTAGATATGAATATATATTTATACACACATATGTACTGAGTACACGTACCACATAAACCTCTATTGATCAATTCATAGATATATAGACATATAGACATACGGACATATAAATATAGGTATAAGTATAGGTAGAGATAGAGATAAATATAGATTTATGTGTTTGTATTCAGCACATACGTATGTATATCTATGCATGTAAATACATATATACATGCATATGTGCACATGTGATATCTGTGTGTGTATGCACATGTATGTATATGTTTTATGTGTATGTATGTGGTTGAATGCCAAATATTTATATTAAAATATTCAATAAAAAGGGCAGAAGTATTAAAGTTTTTATTATATGAACATAACTTCTGTAAGCATGTGGGCCAGGACACACACATGCGCACGCACACGCACACACTCACACGCACTCCATACAGTTACAAAGATGGGATAATAAGAGACAGTTGCCATATCCTACCCCATTCCCACATCTGTGTATCATTTTCTAATGCCCTTTTAATATAACAATATTTGATCACTTAGTTACTTCTACACTTTTGAACATATCTCTATTAGTCTTGAATATATTACATTACTACTATTTATGCCTCCTCTCTCCAACTAAACTGAGAGCTAAAGATCATAGAAAGTTTCATATTCCCTTCTATCCTCCACTGTGGTAACTGGCACAGAGTAAGTGCTCAATAAATATTCCCTGAATTAATGAAATGTTCATGTGGATGGATGGATGGATGGATGGATGGATGGATGGATGGATGGATGGATGGGTACTGGCTCATTTCTCTAAGAGACTTCACAGCAGAGGCTGCCTTATTCCCTTTCATGGTGAAGTAAAGTGTGCGGGACCCAGAAGCCTTGGTGCCGAACAAAGGAAGAAGTTATGAGGCACAAGAAGATACATTTTGTCCCATTCTCTCCATGCTGGGGTAGATGACATTTATATGTCATCTTCATATAAATGCATTCTACCTTCCCTCCTCCGAGCGTCAGTCAAAGCTTTCAGCCCGCGCTGCTGAAGGCCTTTGGAGAGGTGCAGAGACTATCACAATTAAAATAAAATTGTGGTACAGAAAATGGAGTCTGTGCAGGGCTTAGATTTCAGCTGCCTACCTCTGGGCAGATGAAACGTACTGCCGATAGGAACACTTGGGGGCTAGGGGAAACCCTTTGTAAAGTGCTTCCCTTGGCCCCGATTACTGTCTTTCTTCCTGAAGAAAGGCAAAAATTCCGCCAAACCTTTTGTAAAATCTAGTATTCAATGCTCTCGACCCATCAAAAGGTCATTTGTTTCCCTGTACAGAGCTCAAAAATATCTCTACAAAGGCAGCTCAGTGATCAAGCGAAAAAGAAAACCCTCCCAAGTCCTGCTAGGGTTCCCTTCTACAGTCATGGGACATTCAACAGGAAAAGGTCTCAGATATGATCCATCATTCAGATGGCTTTGCCATATTCAGGGGCAGCCACACAGAAGAGAATCTAGATGTGAGGACTTGCAAGGGATAAAAAAAAGTGCTCTAAATGTATTAGTGGTTCAGTAAATCTATTCCAAGAACCACTGAATAAAACAACATGGAAAATATTCTTTGTGTAAAGGGGGAAATGCTCATGGCAGAATGGACGGGCTCATCCTTGTCTGCTGGAAATTACCAAAAAATATTAAGCACGTCATAAATGAACAAAAATTTCTACTTAGAAGTCAAGCCTTGATTACATCATTTGCTCCATGGATGATAGGAAAGCAATTAAACCATAAATTGAGAATGGGACATTATCCATTTGGAAGTTGCAGTGCTCACAGAAGCTCTGGAGCCTGGCCTTCCAGTGACTGTCTGCAGGGGTCCTGTCTGCTCAGAGTGGCCTTGTCCTACTGGATTTCAGTGATCACTCCCTCACACCTTAGGTAAAACTTTAAATCCTAAAAACATCCCTGAGATGCCTTCTGAGGTGGGTTTCTCTCTCCTTGCAGGCTGAGTGGCCGACAAGGAAAATAAGCATGAAAGGTTAGGGAACGGCCACCTTGCAAAGGAAGGTGGTGGACCTGTGGGTGGCCCCAGACTTCCTTCTCCAGCTTTCCGTTCTCCCAGAATGAAATTGGGTTCACTGCCTACTCACAAGCTAATGAGCCAGAAATATCTGGCAGCTCGGGCAAGCTCCCTGGCAGGCCTGGGAGCGACAGCCCAACCCTTGTCCCCCAGAAAACGAGTTCACTATATACGGCTCATCCAATTCCTTAGTTGCTTCAGGCCACAGAACTCTGTGCTAGGATGAGGCGGGCAGCTAGATGGCTCCCCCTACTGGGACACTGACTCAGGACCCTGAAACTACCCAGCCAAATGGTATATGTAATGCTCCCCCACAGACTTTCATGGGATCCCACAAACATCTTTAAAGAAAATGCTCACCTCAGAGGCTCTCTGGGACTTTGGCTTCCTCCTCAGCAAATTCGAGAAGTGGAATAGTGAAGTCTTTTTTGCCTTTCAACCAGAAAGTTGCTTGTTCTCCTTTGCCCCGAGGGAGGCGAAGGAGCTGGCTTTTGAATCACAGAGGAGGGTCTGCCTGTGACATTTAGCCTCTGAGCAGGCAACTGGGGTCTCCTTCGTTTGCTTACTGAAATGTTGTTTGTAGCCAGAACTGTTGCTACGGGGCACGAGCTGCTTCAGAGAGGAAAGGCTTTAGTATACATGAAAGCTTGATGATTTCTTTGGACTTTGCTGATAAGCCTAGATGGACAGTAAATAATGACCTAAAGGGTGAGGGCTGATGGAGGTTAAAGTTGGTTGCCAGGAAATCTTAAGAAATAATAACACTTTTGAGCTCTTACTATGAGTAGGGCCCCAGATGAAGCACCTGGGAGGGCAGTATTATCACCATTCCTGTTTTACAGATGATAAAACCAAGGCACCAAATCAGACAGCTAGTAAGTAGGGGGACAGGATTCAAAGCTAGGTCTACACGGCTGCCTTCTAGAAAAATCTCCCTCTACTTGAAGTCAGTTGATCAATACAGCTACCAGGAGCAGAGTCAGAAACGGGAGAGTTGATGACACACTCTCTTCCCTCTCGCTTCTTTTCCTGGATCCCCACACCCACTGAACACTCAGTGTCACAATCACCACCCACCACCCTCACTGTGACATCGCCAAGATTTTCTTGAGAGTGTCTCAAAGGGAGAACCCTGCCTCCCAGAAAAGACAATGTTTATCAGAAAGATGGAAAGTCATCATGATATGTTTCAGTGACCAGCGGAAGGCCAGGATGGAGGAGAAGGCAGAGGGAAAGGGAAAACATTTAAATGTGTAGAGATGAGGTCCTAGTAGCCCCAAACCGATGGGTTTCTGTCCCCTCTACCTGGGCATTTTAGACTCGGGAGGAGGGGCATAGAGGACAGCAGACATTATGATTCCTGGGCTTGTATTTGCTGTCGCCTCATGTGGGAGACTAGACCGGGGTGTGGGAGCAGAAGCCAGGAGACCGTGTGGCAAAGAGAAAAGAGGCATCTGCGGGGGTGAATCCAGGGGGAGATAAGCTCTTATCGCAGATTCCACATGTGACTGTGTGAGGGGACAGTAGTCCCCTCTGAAGGAACAAGACCCGGCGTCACGAGCACCTCCCCGTGGACCTTAGGGGTCCCCACGCACTGCAGCCAGAGGATTCACTCATCTCGTTCAGTTCCTCCGTACCTCCATCAGAGGCCCAAATGGGGCAGGTGGGTACAGCTGGCCCGGTCTTACCTTGCCTGGAATGGAGCCTCCCTTCTGAGAGACGTGAATGCGGAGAGATGGGAATGCGGAGAGATGGGAATGCGGAGAGCTGGGAATGCGGAGAGCTGGGAATGCGGAGAGATGGGAATGCGGAGAGATGGGAATCCGGAGACACGTGAATGCGGAGAGATGGGAATGCGGAGAGATGGGAATGCGGAGAGCTGCCATAAACCCGTACGGCCTCGTCATCGCCGTGGTTGTCACTCTAATACAGATGTCAGCGGGGGAAGGGCTGCTGTGGAGAGGGAACGCCACACTGCTCAAATTCTCGGGCTGCCAGCACTTCTCGTTAGCAAATCACAGACAATTTCCCCGCTTTGAGGCCCCCTACTTTTAAGACCCACACTTGAGCTGGGATCCTCCCCCCAACCATTCATGCATTGCTGACACTTGGTGGCTGCTACTCAGGCTTTGATATGATCAGTTTAGGATCAGAAAACAGAACTGACTACATGTGCAAGCGGGTACTCACCATGGAGGGAGGTGAGCTGAGCTCCTCAGGCTTCCTGGGGTGGCCCCAGAGCTGGGCCATATACAAAAATGTTGTTTGTAACCAGAACTGCGATTCGAGTCAGTTTGGAGCCGATGTCAGCATTTCCACTTTCAAACTTTATCCTTAAAATCTTTACTTACAAGCTAAAAAGAGAGGTCTTACAACGCAGTAAAATTACGGTAAAGCGAAAAATACGATGTCCCCTGGAGTTCCTGGCCATAGATTCCCTTCTCCAGCACCAAAACAATATGTCAGGGATGGGTAAATTACCACCCACAGGCCAAATCCAGCCCACCACCTGTGTTTGCAAATAAAGTTTTATTGGAACCTAGCCACACCCATCATTTACATATTATAAAAGGCCACTTTCACACACAACAGAGGTTAGGTGGTTGCAACAGAAATTATGACCCCCTAAAGCCTAAAATATTTACTGTCTGGCCCTATATAGAAAAAGTTTGCCGACTCCTGCTCTTTATTTAACTGATCTCATTATACATGTGCCGGACTATTTGGAATGAATAGTCTTGGAAGGAGGCAGTCATGTGTGTCTACACAGCTCCATAGAGAGGACAGGGCCAAGCACCCTCTACAAAGTTGTGATCGGTATTGTCTAAAGTAGATAATGATCTTGTCCTTCAACTGGAAACCAGTGGACGAAATGCAAATGGGTCTTCTAAAAATACCCTCTGGTTAACGATAGTGGACTAGAGGGACAGCGATATTGTGTTTGTAAACTGCCGTAAGTGATACCCACGCAAAGTGCCGCTTTCCATTCTGGATGCCATGTTCACAGTGTCTCTGAACAGACAGTATCTGGGCATGGTGATTCCCACCATGCCGGCCACCACGGGACCTGAAAAGGAAAGAATGGACGGGCAATAACCAGTCTGCAGGTCCCAAGGGATGGACTCCACGATGCACTTCAAGTCGACAAATGCAATTCAATAAGTATGTGTGAAGTGCCCTCTCAGGGCAAAGCTTGGCAATAGATCTTGGGGTTTACGAAGAGGCAAACTGTAGAACCCACAGACTTCCGTTGGAAAGTGACGTCATCGATTGTTATAGACTGAATGTGTGTGTCTCTTCCAAACTCACATGCCGAAGCCCTAATCCTCACTGTGCTGGTATCAGAAGGTGGGGTTTGGGGGAGATAATTAGGTTTAGATGAGGTCATGGGAGTAGGGCCCTTATGCTGGGGTTAGTGTCCTAAGAAGAAGAAGAAGAGACACCAGAGCTCCCTCCCCTCGTCTCCCATGTGAACACAGCCAGATGGTGGAGGTCTGTAAGCCAGGAAGCGGGCCCCACTGATGCACGGTCATGCCGGAACCCCGACATCAGACTTCCCCGTCTCCGGAACTGTGATAGAATAAATGTCTGTTGTTTAAGCCATCCGGTCTACGGTATTTTGTTTATTTTGTTACAACAATCGAGCTGACTAAGAAAGAAATTAATGACAATGTTATTCATGCACTGAAGATGTACAAAAAATCAGAAACAAAACAGGAGCAGCACAAGCATGAAAGTAACTCATTCTGATTAGAGTCGGATTTTATTTTAATTAAGCCGTGGGAGACAGGCAGGAGCAGTTCTGGCTACATAATTTGCAGGGCCCAGTCTAAAATGATAATAAGGGACCCCCTTATTTGAAAATTATTAAGAATTTCAAGACAGTGACAAAAGAGCGTTAAACCAGGTGCAGGTGACTTCTGCACAAGTCACCTGCCCATGAGATTGATAAAAACACAGAACAAATCAAAGGGCATCTGACACAGAGGTGTAGAAGAAAGGCAGTTCAATAGAACTGTCCTGGTTTGGGTCTCTTCCTCATTTGTGGTCCAGCACCTCAGAGTCTTTGTGCGTCCTTGTTGTTACCAAGCAAGCTGGCTAACTAGAAATACGCATGCAGTCTACGGCCATGCCACCCTGAAGAACCCGATCCTGGCTGATCTTGGAAGCTAAGCAGCGTCGGGCCTGGTTAGTACTTGGATGGTTAGTACTAGGAAGACCAGGTGCTGTAGGCTTAAAAAATAAGGGATTGTAAGCTGACAAGGTCCTTGCAATCTGTGAGGTCAACCAAGGGTTGCCTCACCTAAAAAAAAAAAAAGAAAGAAAAGAAATATGCATGCAAAGGTAGTTTGACCTTTTATTTTCTTAAGTTTCAGGGTTCCTAAAAGCCTAGAACCCTGGACTTGAATTTAAAACTACCTGCCACCATACCTGGACCAAAAGGCCACCTGCCATCAGAGTTGTCTACCTGTGTGGAAGCCATTCCGAAGCTTGAGCTTCTCCTCAGGCATGTGCCCAGTCTGGAAGTGGACGGCGGCACTGAGGAAATGCAAGGACATCGTGGCAATCTCGTCCACATGCTTGGTTCCACTGTGGATGGGAAGTCCGCTGGCTACCATGTATGCATCCCCAATGGTTTCGACCTGAAAATAAAGTAACAGAGTGGCCTTGTGCCCTCCATGAGGGTGGGGGTGGGGTCAGAGACCAAGGCCCCTCATCACTGACACCTGCTTTGAGGCCCCATACTTTGAAGCGTCACCACCCTGACCTCCACTCCATCCAAGTTCCAGCATCCCCTCAAGTTTGGTCTTGTCCTGGTTCTTCCACAAAGCCTCCCTTCCCTGAGCCCTCCTCTCCACGGTCACTGCTTCCTCCTCTGGATTCTGATAGTGGTAGTAACCCTATTTTGACAACCGAAGCTCAAAACCAGTTAGACATGCAGCAGGGTAATGATGGGGTAAATCCTGAAGGATCATATGGAGCCATTACTGAAATGTCTTCGTTCCACACAAAGGCTCTTATATTCTTTTATATATATACATTATACAAAATATATACATTATGCACACGTGTAAATGTACATATCCACTCTATCTGCCCTGCCCTCTTCTCTCCTGATCCTCCTAAAAAAATTAGGTTTCAGATCCCTCGTTCACAACCGAGAATAAAAGACAAGCATAAGCTTAAACTTACAGTCCTTTCCAGATACATTCATGTTTTAGCAGAATCCAGAGATGATGTGATAAAGGCAGAATGACTGCTTTAGCCAAGCAGTAAGAATACCTTTGTCTCCTGGTGACCTTGCCATTACACGGCATCAACAAGTACGCAAGTAGGCAGAATGACTGCTTTAGCCAAGCAGTAAGAATATCTTTGTCTCCTGGTGACCCTGCGTCAACAAGTACGCAAGCCTAACTTCCTCTAGCCCACCTTTCCCCATTACCAGCGTATCCTTCAGAAATACCAACTGATTCTTTTAAGCATTAGCCCATATAAAACATAACTGAGAAGTTAGCACTAAGAGGAAATCCCACAAGAGGCCCTCCTGAGCCAAGCAACTTCCATTTTTGTTGGGTACCTGTGACCTGCTCTTGAAAATTATCCACACCATCCCTTCTTCACCCTCGAACAGAGGCCACATATTTGGGGAATGTTGGGGGATAACCATTGAGGACATGTCACTGAGGGACATGGCCACACTGTCCCCCCACATCTTGCTGGCCCCAGGGCCACAGGCTGAGCCCTGGAATCATAGGCAGAGCCAGGGCACTGTGGCTGCCCACCAGACATACCAGACATGCATGAACACGGACAACCTAAAGTCAGGATCCAGCGCCATCTGAAAAGCCAGCAAACACATCAAGTGAAGTGGCCGTCATCACCACCACCTAAATGAAGCCATTTTATCAGTTTTTGCTATCCCCCACCCTCCTGTAACCTCAGCCATTTTTACTCCAGGTGACCCTGTTGATACATCCCCAGAGTAACGCTGGACAGGTAGAGGTTTCACCTTTAGCCAGGGGTCTAACAGTCTAAACCTGGGTGGTAGCTTTCCCCGAATCACTAAAGATCACGGTAACAGAGGTGAGACTCACACAAGATCCAAAGAAAAGAGCAAATATGAGATTCTCCGAATCTGAAGGAAATATTCAGGAGGCGACTAGGGGCATTACTAGTCAGTAGAAGGTCAATGCTTCTTTTAGAAATGCATTTACTACGCGATAAAATAAGGTAGGAAAGAGAGGGAACAACTGATATTTCTTGACAAGTACATACATCTGTGATTGATCAAGACCTTTTCCAAGAAAACAAACAGGAATAAAATATTGAGTTTCTGCCATAATTTGAGATAGACTGCCAGCCTGAAATAGAGCCTTCGTCCTGGATGATGTCTAGCAGCAAGTTCATCCTTACTCATGCCCAGGACACATACAACAAGAAGCACATGTTCCCTTACAGCCCAGGAGCCAAGCATCTCACCTTATACACATCATATGTTTTAATGATGTGATCGAATAAACTGTACAGGTCATTTTACGACTTGCAAGGGGGAGCCGAGAGAACAGAGTTTTGTGAATCCAACAATGTCAGAGAAAAAGATGGTCACAGACTCAAAATATTCTGGTTCCACAGACCTTCCAGCTATGAGCTGTTCTCCAATGAAGCTGAAACCAGAGAAAAGGGTTGTTTTTGAAAAGTATCATATTCATCTTTTCTCCTACAGACTCCTACAAAGTCACCTGGTAGATCCTTTTGCTTTACTGGGTTAGGTTATTGGTAAACAAAATCCATCATCTGGAGGGATTTGTTTGACACTCATTCTTCCACCTGCATTTTCTCTAAAGAGAAATTTTAATTGGTGGATATAAACTGGGGTGGGGAAACCACCAGGTCACATAAATGCCTTTACAAAAATATTTTTTTTCCTGATGCTATTTCATTTTCCTCTGTTGGTTATAGAGTTTGATTATAAAGACTCGGCCTGCAGATGTAGAAGCAAATGTAAGCGTTCACTGATTCCCTAAATCAATACATTTGCTTTAATCAATCAATCTCGCAGCAGTACATTCAAATCCCCAAACCATTTCTTTTATCAAGACAAATAGGAAGGGTGAAGAATTTTAACAGCAGATGCTTCTGCCAAGTGTTTACGGAGTGAACAGGTGAAAATAGAACCAAAAAAGAAGGAAGTCTTGAATCTAAAGTCATGGGTACATATTTTATAGTGCAAAGGTTTTGGAGCACAACCTGAAAATCCTGGGAAGTTAGCAATTAACCAGACTCATGGGACTAGAGCGCCATCTGGTGTTCGGTCTCCTTTGCTGCAGCCACCATCTTTATTGTAAAAGACAGTACACCCTCGTTTCCCGAGGACTTGGAGAGCTTTGCCTCTATCTCCCGTAACGGGGTGTACTAAATTGCATGCAAATTGCTTGATCCACTTTAGAAGAACTTGATGTCCTCTTAAGGAAAGAACAAAGAAAATATTCTTCCCGTTTGGGGATTCTTAGAAGGCAATGCTATAGCTTCGTGGGTTCCTTTGTCAACGCCCCCACTGCTCCGCAATACCTGAGAAGTATTGTGGAGAGAAGCTTATCGACTTTCCTCTTCTCTGCCATCAGCTGGTTGGTCCTCTCTTCCACCACCTCCTCCAGGCGATTGGCGTACACCTCCAGCTCGCTCACCATACTGTCTAGTATGTTCACGTGGTTTTAAAAGAACACAGATATTAACGTCTTTTTCCAAGAACTTTAAGGCCACGGTAGAGTACAACTTCCAACTATACATTCCAAGAAAACATGTCTCACTCTCAAGGTTTCCAAAGGACAGCAGTGAAATGACAATGGCGATGACGCCATGTGGCGAGACAGAGCCCGCCCTTCACCAGCTCTGTGATCCTGAGCTACCCGCTTTGCTCCTTTGAACCTCAGTTTCTTCATTTGGAAAAGGAGGATGCTAAGACATACTTTGCAGGGTTGTTCTAAGGATTCAGGGAGATAATGGGTACAAAGGAACCCAGCAGGCACTCAACAAATGGTGGCCTTCGCTGGCCCTCCCCACTTCCCAACATGCTTCATACCATCGTCATGGCCAATCAGAACCGTAGGTTTCAAGACAGGTCATCCTTTTCTTTTCAGGTGACAACATCATTTCTTTTCAGAAAAAAAAACTATAAGAGCCCCTTCTAAATCTTCAGAGAAATCATTTAAATTCCCCGTCTTCCAAATGAAGAGACTGAGGCTCGGATGGGAGGTAAACTTGCCTTAAAACTGGGGACCATATTATCTGAGTAAAAGTCATGACATAGTAACTGACCTGAGACATACCATTTAAAACTGTTTTGATATGGAAAATGCAGAATACAGAACCGTCGTGTTCAGAATGCCTAGCAAAATGGCCAGATTAGGAGTAGACACCTGACTCCCAGCACAGGGCCCCTTCCACCAGCTCAAGCTACTTCTAATGTGGCTGTGCCTTCCTATATTCAATGTGACAAGAGATGATACAATTACCCCGATTTGGAGCAAGTTACTATTGGAAAAATTATTTGAGAGGCATGAATAATTTAAGTGAATAACCTACTTTAAAGTCGGTGAATCATTTTTTATGGCATAGTTCAACCCCAGTTGATTCTGAGGCCATGTCACATCTCCCTGGGAAAGAGGATCTTGATTGATTAGTGATGTCTGGACTGGAAAAAGAGGGGTAAAGGGCATACAAATGTCTCGGATCTATTTCTGTAACATTGATGAGATAAAGGGAGAATGTATCACTCCATTTCCACCAGCACGTAGCACGGTGCTTTGCATGTGGTAAGCACTGAGTGCATATGCGATGAATGAATGAAGGAAGGAATGGAGGAATGCACTTATGGAGGAGAGAATGGATGGGAGAATGAGTGAATAAAGCAAATAAGCCACACAGAACCAACCCCAGTCACGCAGCGGCAAAATTCTAAGAGTTAAATGGTCAGGAGAAAATACCTGTTCCACACCTAACTCACCCTTTGGGACTGGCTTCTCGTAAAATCTTCTTGATGGAAGGGAACGTGGGCCTTTTCCCTGGAGGTTCATCCCGACATGCCCTCACCAGAACCGCGATCTTTTCATTGCCCTTCTCCTCTGACAGGGAAGGTCCAAGTGGAACAGAGGCCAAGGAGTCTCTGATTCAGCTGACGATTCCTGAAATTCATTTCGGGTTCAGAGAGCCAAATGTCTGGACTCCGTGCTGTTTGGTACTCTTCACTTTGAACACATGTGCCCTTAAATTTGTAAACTGAATTTCCCAGTAAATTGAACGGATTAGGATTTGAATATTTTACAAGCGAAATCTGAATATTTTATAAGAAATATTCTGAATCATCCTGGAAAAATGAAGAATTTTCATGTAAATCATATAAGTACTCCCTGATTAATCTGTTTTTAGATTAAGTTTTTTTCTAATAGAACTTTTCTTAACGTGAAGCGTGTCTCCATATGATTTCAGTAGTGTATAAGCATTTGTTATTAGAAATCCCCAAAGTGTGCTTTATCCAATTTTGTGTTTCATATAATATGCTATGTAAGAGATATTTTAACAAATAATAAATGTAACTAACCATCATGTTCTGCCTCTGTGTCCACCTCGGTAAACCTACTTTCTTTCATTTCCGCATTGGCCCCTACCAAAGTGTGTAAAACAGTCTAACTAGGCTTTGGAAAAGAAATAATATTTTGAGAACAATGTATGACGTGTTTTGGTATAAAATACTGTAGGTGCGACAATAAATCTTAAAAGTATATTACTAAGTATAAGAAGCCCATCTGAAAAGGCTATGTACTGTATGATTCTGTTAATATGACATTCCAGAAAAGACAAAATTATAGAAACAGAACACAGACCAGAGGCTGCCAGGAGTTTGGGGAGGAGAGAGGATTGAATAGGTGAAGGACGGAGATTTTTTTTAGGGAGACAAAACTATTCTGTATGATACTGTAATGGTGGATACATGATACCGCCTATTGGCCAAAACCCATAGAGCTTTACAGCAGAAAGAGTAAACTTGAAAGAACGCTAATGTTTAAAAAGATCAGTTGGGAGAGTGGACGACCCCAGGATAGAATGCAGACTTGTGACAACAGAATCTAACTGCATTACAAACGCATGACGTACCCTCACCGAAAGGGTGCAGGGAGAGTGCTGAGTTAAGTAACTTCTGAAATGACTAAGATGATAAGACTAAATACAAAAAGAACTATCCATAATGACTCTATTCCCGTCGTTAAGACGGCTTCTCCCAGAGGTACAGATCGGCAAACTCGGAAAGGACTATACACATATATCGTACAGCCCTGAAGACAAAAGAAGACAAATTTGTATGTGCAAATATGAGGTGAAGGAAAATACATGTGCAAAGGCTCTGGGGTGGGGACATGTCTGGCGCATCCAGGTGTCCAGCGGGATTGAATGGAGCCAGCCACGGGAGATGAAATTAGGAAGGTGTGGTGGCTGTAGCTAAAGTAGGAATGATGATCCCCAGTGAGATATGTCCATGTCCTAATTTCCAGAATCTGACTTATTTGGGGGGTGGGGAGAAGGAATAAAAATAATAATAATAAGGTCTTTGCAGATAGAATTAAGTAAGTTGGGTTCCGGAGATCACCTTGGATCATCCAGGTGAGCCCTAATCCAATGACAAATGTCCTCATGTGAGACGGACAGAAGAGAGGTACTCAGAGGAGGCGGCAATGTGAAGATGGAGGCCGAGGCTGGAGCGATGTGGCCACAACCCACGAAGGCCGGGGCAGCCGCCAAAAGCTGGAAGGGGCAAAGAACCGATCTATCTTTGAGCTTCTGGAGGGAGCACGGCCCTGCTGGACCTTGATTTTGACTTCTAGCCTCTGGAACTGGGAGAGAATAAATTTCTGTTGTTTTGAGCCAGCAGGTTTCTGGCAATTTAATATGGCGGTGCCCGGATACAAATATAGAAGGTCGCTGAGGCTAGTTTAGAGGCCTTCAGTGGTCTTGCGGGCCGTTGTGAGGACTTAGTTTTCATCACTCCCCAAACGGCAGGCCAAGGGAGGATGTGATGTAGACAAGCAACATGTCCTGACTCATTTTCTAACAGGATCTGGCTGCTGTTATAGACTAAATGATGTAATTCTGAGTTCCTTGATTTTTTTTTTTTTTTTTTTTACCAAACTGCACCTGTCTTTTTTTTAACATGAATTTCAAAAAGAAAAAATAAGAATGAAATAAATTGCAAACAAATAAACATTTAATAAAACAATCAATAGGACAAGCACTTACAAGCTCACCCTGCTGACCCAAGCCAGCGGAGGAGATGCTCCCAGCCTTATGGTCTCATCATGGCCGTCAAAGGCCCGCGGTCCTGATGGTGGAGCAGCTCCCTCATCAGAATGGCCAAGCTGCAAACGTATCCCTTTGGGGCGCCTGACCGGGGTGACTCTGGGAGCCGCAGCACCTCGGAGGGCCGTGCGGTAGAGCTCCACAAAGCAAAACATGTCATCCGCATGGAGGGAGAGAGCTGCTGGGCGGAACTGGAAAGCCACGTCTTCCATCCCAGGGGAGCTGGGGAGCGATGGAAGCATCCGGCCCCTGTGACGCCAGCCCTGACGGGGTCTGACTGAAAGGGCGCACAGGGGTCTGCGTGTGCGAACATGGAGAAAACAATCAGGAGGGACGAGCACTGACGTGTAAACAGCGGTTAACTCGTGGCTGTGCAATCACAGGTGGTTTTCATTTTCCTTTCCCCGTTCTCTTCTGCCTCCATAACAGAAAACGAACCATTTCTAATGTGAGCGATGCAGTGGCAGTTAGTACATGTGCAATGTCGTGCAACCCCCACCTCTATCTAGTTCCAAAACATTTCCTTCACCCCAAAGTAAAATCCCATATCCATCCAGCAGTTTATCTCTGTCTTCCTCTACCCCCAGCCCCTGAAAACCATCAGTCCCTACGGCCATGCCACCTTGAAGAAGCCCGATCCCATCTGATCTCGAAAGCTAAGCAGGGTCAGGCCTGGTTAGTACTTGGATGGGAGACCACCTAGGAAGACCAGGTGCTGTAGGCATAAAAAATAAAAAATAAGGGATTGTAAACTGACAAGGTCCTTGCAATCTGTGAGATCGACCAAGGGTTGCCTCGCCTAAACAAAGAAACAAACAAAACCATCAGTCTACATCCTGTCTCTACAGATTTGTCTATTTTGGATTATTGGATACATGTACCTACTTTTTTCTTCTTTCTTTTTTTTTTTTTTGCAGTACGGTGTATAGTTTTATGTTATTATAGTATATAATCATTAAAAGAAAATGTACTGGGGGATGAAGCAGGAGTGGCTATTAGCAGGTTTTCAAAATCGCCCCCTTTGTGCTTTTCTATGAGACGCCACCCTATCTCATGTTACGGAAACCTCCCCACACACACTCAGCAAAACTGCCAGCCACGTGCAGTGAGGTGGTCTGGGATGAAGGCACTGGGCTCGACAGGGCCCGGGTGTGTGCTAGGTGAGGCTCAATTAGCTTTGGACATGGAGCAAGGCCCTGAGCCTCAATTTGTTCATATAAAAAGGAGGGTTGGACTCCAGCTGGTGGGTCCTGTCTTGAAATGCACACCAGAATCACTTGGGAGCTTTTAAAAACAACACAATGCCCAGAGCACATCTTCAGATATTCTGATTCAGTTATATGGGGTGGGACCCAGCTGCCTACACATTTTTAAAAGCTTCTCAAGTGACACTGGAACCAGAGATGACAGAGAACTACTGAACTCGTCACCTTTAAAGGGCCTGGCAGATCATCGTTCTACACTGAGAAGGTAGGGAGATGCCGTGGGGCACAGGAGACTACAGAGAAGGACAGCGACTGGCTTCAGGTCGCCCAGCTGAGCCAAAGCGGGAACTCGTCTCCTAACTCAGATATCACACTAGGGACTCACACCACCTGTGGGGGCTATTTTTTTCTTATCTCCTTGGGTGGACAGAGCAGCTACATGCCGCCAGCCCAGGAGGAAGGCCCACCTGCAGGTACCTGTGCACATAGGTATGAGGAAGCAGGGACGGGGAGAGGAAGCCCTTCACTGCTCTACCAAGAGTGAGCAGGTGTGAGACCTGCTCGTGTTTACCTGAGCAGTCCACTGTTTTCTCATTATATATTCTGTATGTCTGGCCATACTCGAGTTCCCACAGCGCAAACCCCGACAGCTTCACCTGCATCCGGCCATCCGCCAGGCAGGCGGAAGGGTTCAGGTTGCCATGGGACCCCAGCAGGCTCCTGTGGAGGAACAGCATGCCCTGGGAGAGTGAAATGAGCAAATGAATTAGAGCAGGTGCCAGTGGACACCACCGGAAGGAGAGACAGAGAGGCAGATGGACAGAAACACAGCCGCACTGACCCAGGGTACGGGACGTGCCCATCTGACACGGCCCCTCACCCAAGGGGTCAACCTGGGCACGACACGTAAAAAGGAAAAAACAATTTCTAGCTTCTCAGTGTGGAGCTTTGAAGGCAAGGCCAGCTTAAAATAAATACAGCCTAGTGGTCAGACTCCCGAATTCAAATCTCAGCTCTACCACTTGAGGGCGGGTGACCCTACACCTGTAAGCCTCGCTCTTCTCATCAAAGTGCAGATAACAATGATTCCTATTTCACAAGGTGGCTGTGGAAATTAAATGTGATAATGCATGTGAGACATCAGACATGGCACATGACATAAAGTAAATACCCACTCGAAATTATAAGGAAAAAAGTTTTATAAATATGATAAGGAATATATGCTTAATCAGCAAAGCTTGCTAAGGGAAGTGAGTCAGAAAGACAGTGACACAATAGCCAAGACACGGAAACAACCTCAGTGTCCCTGGGTGGATGACTGGATAAAGATGTGGTACATATATACAGCAGAACACTACCCAGCCATAAAAAATGATGAACTATTGCCATTTGCGGGGTGGATGACTGGATAAAGATGTGGTACATATATACAGCAGAACACTACCCAGCCATAAAAAATGATGAAATATTGCCATTTGCAATGACATGGATGGATCTTGAGAGTATCATGCTAAGTGAAATAACTCAGCCAGAAAAGAACAAGAACCATATGATTTCACTCCTATGTGGGGTACAAAACAGAGCAACCAATGAATAAACACGTAGACACAGGCAACAGTATGGTGGTTATCAGAGGGGAAGGGGCAGGTGGATGACAAACAGGATATAGGGGGGCCAAACACCTGACGGTCAAGGAGAGGAGACTTTGGGCAGTGAGCACACAAAGCAATATACAGATGATGTCTTATAAAACTGTACACCTGAAACTTACATAATGTTATTAACCAATGTTAATAAATTTAATTTTTTTTTTTTTAAGAAAGAAAGGTAGTAATAATTTTCATTCAACAAGGAGATGAGGGCTTAGGGGGTGGGACTTTCTTCGGGCACAGAGGGGCTTGAAGGAAGACCTAGAGTTGAGGAGAGAAGAAATTTTGGGGGGAGAACAGGTAGTAGAAGAGTTCCATTGGGAAAAAGAGAACTGTCGTATCTGAAACGTGATTTGAGAGACAGATGTTTGTATTTCTTACTCTTTCCAAGGACAGACCTAGAATGAAGGTTAAGGGGGAAAGGCAGACTGCATTTCAGAAGCCGAGCATAACAGTCCGGCGGGGTGGCATTCTTTGTTGCTTTGTTTTTTTATTTGCCTACCTTCCTCGATGGCTTCAGGAGAAAGCATTTAAGTAATAGTTACTCGATATTTCCAGTTTCTTGGAATTAAAATACTGACACAAAGTCTCTCTCTGTCTTTAATCTGAATTCCTGAATCATTCATTTTCAGAATACTTTGTTTAGAAGCTGGTAGGAAACTGACAGCCTTGGTATGTTCCAGGTTTAGGGTTGTCACGGAGCCATTTTACCTGCGCCATCTGGGCAGCCTGGGCCTCCTCGCGCCTGCCTCAACAAAGAGGTTTCTAGGCCAAAGCAAAAATGACAAAGCCTCTCTCACAAGGTCGATTCTCTCGAGGACTTTTTCTTTTCTAAGTTTAGAGTGCTAGCCTTATGCCAGGTTCCGACCTAAGTTCCTTACTTAAACTGACTCATATAACCCTAATGACCCAGTGGCGGTGGATGGTATTATTGTCAACCACATTTTATGGATGAGAAAAGGAAAAAAAAAACCAGAGACATAAACCCGGGCCAGGTCACACAGCTGGCCAGCGGGGGAGCTGGGCTGGGAATTCTGCGGTTAGATTTCCGAGTCCGCCCCCTTGACCGATGACTCAACTTCCCCTTTGCTGATAAAAGAAATCTATGAAGGGCAGAGAGTGAGAAGTGATTAAGAATCTCACTTTAGCCACAAGGTTCCGTGGACATCCATACTGTAACATGGATTCGTGATAACAAATCAATAACAAGAAAACTTTTTTGAGACTTACTTTGCTCTGCACACTGAAGTGCTGGGAACAGGGTACCTTAAACATGTTACCACATTTAGCTTTTCCGGAGGTAGGTTAATATTCTCATTCTCTGTTTCATAACCAGGACACTCGGGATTTTAAACTGCTCCCAAGGAGCAGGGGCAGAGCCGGGACATAAGCCCAGGCTGGCTTGCCTTGGAAGCACGGCCACTTCTAAACCACTAGATTTTACTGCTTCCGGTGTCCTAGGTAATTGCAGAGGAGGAGGAATAAGGTGTGTCAAAGTCCACCTATTCTCCCAATACTTTTATAAAAGAACACTAGTGCAGGGACTCACCTTTTCCTCCAGTAGTGATGACAGGCTGAGTCACTGCCCTGTGTGAGCCACAGCCCTGAGCCAATACTGCATTAGAAATATAGGCTAACACAGGCCAGTGGATACACCGTGCTTGCACCCACCCCACACCCCTCAAAAAATCGGGAAGTCATGTTTCTTTATCAATGCGGCTTGTTTGTTTCCTGAGATGAATCTCATTTTGGAAATGCAACCCACTCAACTGGACGTGGACGAGCCTGGCCGGGGCTGTCTCTAGAATTTCTCCAGGGAGGATCCAACTGGCCAGGTCTGATCTTGAAATCTCGGGAGAACTGTGTCGAATCCAGAGTTCTCCCTGACCTCACGAGGACCCCTCCATGCTGCTGGCCTGCCCCTGACACACGTGGCCGTCCCTTTCCTTGCTAGTGCCAGCCCACCCCAAGCCTGAGACATTTTACATTCTGGATGCCGCCGAACCGCGCCCCCCGCCCCTGACACCCAGGGATATTAGCAGAGTTCATTCTATTAGGGCATAAGTGACCTGTTTGGGGACACTCGGAAAATTCTATATATGTAGTCCTCTTTAGGACATAGGACTTATCTCTTTGTTATTGCTTTTCTATCTATGGACATGTGTAACTGCATACATATTATCAGAGAACAAACAGAACCATGAGAGATGCACCATTTGCGTGCCAGATGTCCTGCCTTTTGGTAATTCTATCACCTGCTCTTCTGCGGGTTGCACTTATTTCCCTACTAGAAAGTCGGAGGTGGTCCACAGAGCTCCTGTCTCTATATCCCACATCTGTGCTCTCTCATACTTGGCGAGGAAGAAGCATAGCATAGAAGAAAGACTCAGCCTATGGAGACAGACTGGCTGCAAGCTTCATTCTGCCTCTTATCAGTTGGGCAGGTTATTTTACCTTGCTAAACCTCATTTTTTTTTTTTCCTTGGAATGAAGCAAACATTAATGTTAATATTGGAGTTGATGAATTAATAACGAAGTTAATTGCTAATTACTTAGAGCACGGTTCAAGCGAAACATAATACAAGCCACATGGATAATTTTTCATTTTTTCATTAAACAGGTACAATTAATTTTAATAATCTCTTTTATTTAACCCAATGTATTTAAAAAATCTTATCATTTTAACATGTGATCAACATAAAAATATTAGAAATTTTTTTTTGTTTTTGACACAGCACATTTCAATGTGGACTAGTCACATTGTCACTGTACAATAGTCACAGGTGGCTGGCAGGGCCTAAATGTGCCTCGACCTAGCTATTCTATTTGGATAGTGCAGACTTATCCCGTAGGACTGTCAGGGGATGAAATAAGAAAGTATATGTTTATTAGTATTAGTAATGGAGTTATCTTTGATAACAGTAATACTGCTATCCCTACTAATACTAACAATTAACATTTATTGGATGCCCGTGCTGGGGTAGGCACAGTGCTAAGCAAGTTACATAATTATTCCTTATAACAACCATGTGAGGTAGGTGCTGCCATTACCTTTATCTTATTCATGGGGAAACTGAGTTTCAGGGTAGTTAAGGTCACCTGGTCGGTAAGTAGCACAGCCAGGGTTCAAATCCTTAAGACAACTTCTGTGCCAAACTGTCCTTCGCCCTCTTAATCCATCGAGAATTCTCTTACTTATAAATAAAGGCTCATCTCTAACTCAAGAAGAGTATTATACTCTCCAAAGTTGCTTCCCAGGCTGTCCCCACTGGGTCGAACTCTTTGGGGACAGGAAAATGAGCCTTATTCCTCCTATGTGCCCTCCATGCCCAGAAGCAGGTTGGACCACAATTAGGCGCTCGATCAATACACTTTTGCTATCTTGAAAAGTCTGTGTCATCTCAGAATCTCTCCGCTACCTGGTATAGAGGAAGTTCTGATCAAATAGACATCAGGAGAGGAATCATTTTTATGATTAATATGTGACGGGCAGAAGGGCGAGCTCACCCATGGAGCCTGGCTCAGTTCCCAGGTTCATTCAATGTCACCATGGCAAAGCTTGTAGAGGCTGCTGTGAAGTTTCTGTTACTCTGAGTTCCTTTTAAGGAACGCTGGCAGGGCCTAAATGTGCCTTGACCTGGCTCACTGTGACTTCCTTACCCAGTCTCATGATGTGCACACTCCATTTCAAGAGGCAGTGACCCTTCCAAAGCAGGGAGTCAAGCTGTCTTTCTGGCATGGAGCAGGGGACACACTCAGTGACCTAGAGTAGCTGATAACCACTGGGGAGATTTTCCCCTTTGTCATTCTCACCTACCCCAGAATTTCTTTAGAGAATCCTTTAGCTTAAATGCAGAGGTCCCCAACCCCCAGGCATGGACCGGTACCAGACCGTGGCCTGTTAGTGACCAGGCCACACGGCAGGTGAGTGGCAGGTGAGCAAGCAAAGTTTCATCTGTATTTGCAGCCACTCCCCAGCACTAGCATCGCCGCCTCAGCTCCATCTCAGATCATCAGGCATTAGATTCTCATAGGAGCACCCTTAGGGTCAAAAAGGTTGGGGACCTCTGGCTTAATGCTTCTTGAAAGCCAAATGCCCACACTGAAAAACCTAAATCTATTGGGTGTTCATACCTTGGTGAGAATTTACTAGCTTTCTCTTCGCATCCATTATAAATGATGTCAACTGTTTTTGAATGAGGCAAGAGACAGATTGTTGGAAGTCTAGATACTTTCCTGGGCTTGCCGAGAAGGGAAGGGGAAAGTGGTTGAAGGGAAGGAGAGAGGAGCCCAGAGTAGGAGAGGAAGCCACCTCAGATTCTCCTACTCTGTAACTGTACCACAGCCATTTAAATGATTTTATATGTACATTTCCTGTTTTTTTAATTTTTCTCTCTAGTTAGATTTTAAGTCATTTAAATTTGGAAACAAGTCCTTGTCTTCCTACAAAAGTGCCTAGAGTAAGACAAACCATTAACCGATGCTCAGTAAAATGTACCGAAATAATCACAGTGGTCGTCCAGAGTTGTCCCTGGAGACGCAATCACAAGGTTTCTGTTTGTCTAACTTGCTTGGTTACGACATGCTGGCTTCCCACTAAGGCCTAGAAAGTCAAAGTCTCACAAGGCCATCAAGATTCAGCTTCTCAGAAACAAAGAAATGCCAATCAGGCCAACTTTATCTATTAAACCTACATGGAGGCTGAAGTCCAGAGAGGGGATCAAAAATTTAAAGTCACTCAATGAGTCACTGTCCCTATGCTCCAGAATGACAGAGTTCATGTTTTACCATTGTGTCCCTCACCACACCCGGGCTGAATCTCGCACCACACTACTGGCTGGTTGATAGAAGATGGACTGTCGATTGATAGATGATAACCAGCCCTTGCCCGGCTGCTCATGTGTCAGTCTGAGGGGCTTCCTCACCAGAACCCCCTCCCAAGTCAGTTGCTTGACCCCCTCTTATGGTAAAAACAGATGCAGTGAGTGTAGGAAGAGCAGGTGTATTTTAGTCCAGGTTGAGGACATCAGCCTCAGGATGCTGGTTCACACTGACATGGCCCACCTGAGTTACCTTCCATCTGTGAAGTAGGGGTAATAACAGCTCTACCTTACTTTTCGTTATGACCATTAAGTAAATTAATATATACAGAGTGCTAGAAAGTTTGGGGCCAAAGTAAGCACTAAATATATGAGTAATTATTATTATTGTCGTTATTTTTCTTCCCTTTTTTGCAACCACCATAGCCCTCTTTGCCCAAAATAAAGATTCTGCCTGCTTATTTATATACCTTCACAGATCTATATCTCTTGTGTAACAGTTTTGTGGTTGTTGTGGCACTGATCCCATTTTCTGGGGAAAGGAATCTAGGACTAGGGAAAAGAAAGAGATATTAGGAATTCCTTTCTCCAGCCCACTTTATGGTTTAGTAATTAGATTTTCTTTGGGGTAAAAAGTTCCACCCTAAAATGTAAATACCTTACTCTTTCCTGATTGGGTAAAGGTAGCATGCCTTCCAACTTTAGTGTCAAATACTTTACTCTCTTATATTTACTTGAGATCAGGGAGAGAGAAAAGGATGGACAATCTGAAGTGGTAGATTTTGGAAGTGAAGGTCTGAGGAGAACCAGAATTTTCTGGAAAGATTGCAGTTCGATTTTAATCCACTACACAGAACAACTCAAAAGCACTATGGTATCTGTTCTTTAAATAAGTTTATGTTATACTCACATTGACTATGTCATACGCCAATGAGAATTTGAATATCCAATCCAATTCATTATCTGAGTTTCTCAAAACATCCTGAAAAACACAGTTATTCAAAATATCACCAGTGATTCAACCTGAAGCACAGTGAGCTTCATATGTGGAATGAATTTGGTTCTAATACACTAGGTAGTTTTGTCCAAAACTAACACAACCTGAGACAGAGCACTCTAAATCTAGTAATTGGGTATTTTCCCTAGGAAAGACCACAAACGTGATTCAATATTGAGAAAGTTACGCAGTCTTGAGTTTTACGAACTTTTTCTTGCTCTTGACATAAAGCTGATGGTCACACACTGTAGGTAGGATGGGCCCAGAAATGCAATTTAGGAGTAGCTGTGACAGCTTAAGGGATAAAACCAAGCTCAGAGATGGTATCCACTCAGAACAAAGGAAAGCAGCTCCACAGCTGTCCAATGAGATAATTCAGGTCTTGCAATTAACTGTTATTGGATGAAGGGGCAAAAGCATTGATAAGGTTCTTTACTAGCTGCTGCTAATCAAACCTAAGGTAAGATGTGCTGTTTCGCTTACCTTAAGACTTCCTTTTTTGCAATACTGGGTGATGATGCAGGTGTTGGGTGGTTTTGTGCAAATACCAAAGAAGGGAACAATGTTTTCATACCTTAATTCATACACCTGAAAATAATAATGGGAATAATAGCTTATGATTGTAATATGTCTTCTATGCTAGAGACTATGCTGTGTGCTTTATAGACTTTCAGTTAATTCTCACAAAGAGCCTGTGAGATAAGAACCGTGATGCTCGCATTTTACAGATGAGGAAACTGATGCTCAAAAGGTAAAGTAACATGTCAAAGATCATACAATTTATTAGTGGCAAAGTTGGGAGGCAAATCCAGGCAGTCTGCCTCCAGCAAATAAACCAGAGGAGTGATCAAAGTCTAACCTTAGCCATGGAGATTAACTAAAGTCACCTCACAGTAAATAGACCAGCCCTGGTGTTTATGGCTGTCAATGCCAGTATGTGAGTCACGACAGATCATAGATTCAGAGCAAGAAGTCAGATCCCATGAACCTGACTCCCTCCAAGGACCAGGTTCAAGGGAAGTGAGCAGCCATCACAAACACAAAGGATGAAGAGGCAGAACGAAGGCCAGGGAGAATTAAGGAGAAAAAAGAAAAGCTAGGAGGCAGTCTAAGCTTCAGGAGCCTGAGTCAGGCCAAAGGGCCTGAAGTCTAAAGTCAGGGGCTGCCAGGGGACGGTAGAGGTAGGTCCAGTTAAGGAAAGCCGCTTTCCACCCTTATTCCTTTGGACTAGGGCCACTCCCACCCCAGATGGGAATGGGGAACTGGCAACAGAGGGCCAGAGAACAGCACCACTTTATCTCCTCCCGGGGGTGGGGGCCTCACCAGCCAGATTTCCTGCAGCACAGATGGCTTCCTGATCCAGGCTTCTGCTTGGTCACCAACACAGCAGATGGCCACATGGTTTCCCTGGAACCAGAGACAAAGTGGAATGTTCGTAACCCAAGATGATCCAGGAAAAGCTCTACTCAGAAAGAACTAGGAAGGGAAGCAGGAGGATCAGATAGAAACCAGCCTATGATTACCAAGTTCCTCACTGCCCAGATCAGCCCTGTGTCCAAGCACTGAGCCAGCTAGTTAACACAGAATGTCTTGTTTAACAGGTATCACAGCCCTGCAAGGTGGAAATAATAAACTCCTTTCCAGACAGGCTCCCCAAGGTTAGGTAACTTGTCTAAGGTCATACATTTGCAGGTAGTACAGCCAGAATTTGAAATGACTCCAAGACTATACTCTTTTTATTATACAATAATATCCTCTTATCATTCAAAGGAATAGTGAATTGAGGTCATAGTGTAAGTCCAGAGTCAGATACTTAGTTCTGAGCCCATTTCTAATATGTATCTCAAAGGGTTATTTCAAGGATTAAATCAGTTAAAATATTTAACACTGTTAATTCAATGCCTGGCACATATCAAGTTTTCAGTAGGTGGCATATGTTATTGTTAGGTAATATACCTCAATCGGTATATTGAGTCTGCTTTTGGAAAGTCACTGATAATCATCACAAAATTAATTATACAACCACCTGGAAAGATCTGGATAGAAGAAGGGATAGAATCTGGACACAAGAGAAGATAAATCTCAGTAGGAATTAAATATCAAGCCAGGATGTGCCACTTTTAGTTGGAATTAATTGCAAAGTACTCGGGATTGTGATGGGAGTTCCAGAAAGAAAGAGATTCCTGTGGGATGAAGGAAGAGGTGATTCTTCAGCTGAACCTTGAAGGATAAGAAGGTTCCAGAGTGGGGGAGGGGAAGAGAAAGGCAGCCATGGCATTGAAGATGAAACATAATACTTGGCATAATCAGCAAGACCAATTAATTAGATGACTATAGGATTTAGGCCTAGGGGAAAAAACGTTTCTGAAAGTAGATTGGGGCTAGGCAGTAGAGAGACTTGAGTCCCTTGGTAAAGAGTTTGGAAACTTTCTTACAAACAACAGACATGTGGAACCCAGTGATGATATTTGACGATAATTTTAGGAAGATTAACCAATAGTGATATGCTATAGATTGTTGGCTCCCAGCTCTAAATGGCTAGTTGATCACAATATACAGTTTTGTATGAATAGAGATCCTTAGGGTTTTATGGGTGGTAATAACCAAGGAGGTTTTTCATAGTTTGAAAAGTCAAGTAAACATTTAGAAAAAATAGATTTAGTTGCCTAGGGAATGATTGGGCTCTAATCTCTGCTAAACCCAATTTAGAGCAAGGAACAGGTCTTCCCTCACTTGGAGCTTTCCGCCCTTACTCCCTAAGACGTCCATTTGAAAAAATAAAAATAGATTTTTCTTTTCTTTACAAAATTTTCCCCCAGGGAACTTAACCTTCCAAAGGAGTGCTAAGCACAGGTAGCCATAATGGTCCAGCAAGTGGAAGAGAGGGTAAGAAAGGGCAGGTAGGAATTACTCTGCAGGCTTCAGCAGCTGCCACTGTTTATATTGCAGAAGCATCGATACCGTGAGTGATTAATCAGTGCTAAAGTGCCAATGATGAGTCTACCTCCTCGCCACCCTGAACAAGCCCGATCCCCTCTGATCTTGGAAGTTAAGCAGGGTCAGGCCTGGTTAGTACTTGGATGGGAGACCGCCTAGGAAGACCAGATGCTGTAGGCATAAAAAATAAGGGATTTTAAGCTGACAAGGTCCTTGCAATCTGTGAGGTCAACCAAGGGTTGCCTCGCCTAAAAAAAATAAATAAAGTAAAATAAATACATAAATAAAAATAAAGTGCCAATGATGACATAATCTGTGCTCTAGGACTACACTGTCTAAAAAGATAGCCACTGGCCCCATGGGGCCAATTAAATTTAAATTAATTAAAAGTATATAAAATTTAAAATTCAGTTCTCCAGTCACACTAATGTTTAATAGTCACCTGATGGTAGGAGCTACCATATTAGACTGAGCAGACTTGGAATATTACCATATTCATAGAGTGTTCTGTTTGATAAAGCTGAGTCTAAAGTAGAAGCCAGTATAGGAATCAGCCAGGAGTTTGTTAGTGAAAATGCAGAGTCTCAGGCCCCACGCCAGACCTGCCGAACCGGAATCTGCATTTTAACAAGAGCCCCAGGTGATTCATATGCATACAAAAGTTGAGAAGCACCAGTCTGGAGTCACAGCACTACCTGGCTTTTACTTGGAGAATGTCCCCCTATTCAGAATGTCCTGCCTTACAGAAAGGACACGCAGAGAATGGAACAGAGACACATATCAAACCCTTCATGCAGCCACCTTGCCCTCAGAAGTACCTGGTAAAGCCCTATCAGGGCATAAAAGAGCTCTTCCCCCTGCTGGCTCTTGACAAAGGAGCTGAAGTCCCCAGGAATCATCATGCTACATGAGCCACTGCTGTTCCCTCTTGATACAGGTGTGCCTCTCTAGGATGGCTGTAAAACAGGACACAATTCAGTCACTCTGAGTAGCATGATCAAGTACTGAATGAACTGTGCATTTTATAAACGAGAAAAAGAAATGCCAAGGTCACCTAGATAATAAATGGGGCAGTTAGGACTCGAACCCTGATCGCTCTGACCCGAGGTGATATGAGTGCTTAGCTGATACATGCATTCTTCTTGCATCTGCACCAGCGTAGATAGTGTGAGGGCTAAGAGAGCGGGGTCAGACTACCCAAATTCAAGTTCTGGCTCTGGCCCTTGACTAGATGTGTGACCTGATGCGGAGTTACTTTCCTAAATGAACATCTAACCACGTTACTTCCTGTTTAATATCCCCAGCCCTACAGATGTCTTTAAAGCTGAGGATTCCTGTTTTTCAAGGAGAGTTTCTCCTGGAGCCTAACATGGAAACCAGGGAGATCAGAGCTGCTATGACTGAAAAGAGAGGGCTCAGAATTCCTCCCCACCACACCTGCATCCTTAATCTATTATTCACCCCAAGATCAGACCAGTGAGCCCCAGAATCCCCAGGGACATTTGAAATGACTTATTAATGAAGCCCCATCTCCTGATCTTAGCATGTTGAAGCCTCCGGAGTTGATACTTACCAAGTCACAGTTTAATTTTTTTTTTTGAAGGTCATAACTAATTTATTAAATAATAGTATATACATAAACCCCAAGGAAAGGAAGCTAATTCTACAAACTACAATTCTGAAAATAAAGCCAATGTAACAGGAACAAGATAGATACATTATGAAAGGAATGTCTGATTTTGACCCATAATGCATTCTTTATCCTTACCATTAACCTAAATGTCTAGAACAAACCTATATACCTGGGTCTAAATTTGGGGCTTGTTTAGCAAGCAACGACATTCTAGAACAAATTCCTTTTGCTTTGCGATATTTAAGATTCAAACATTTGTTTCAGTACATTAATTTTGATTCAACAGTAGATCTACATATTTTGTCAATCTCTTAATACTTGAGTAGCATGTACTCCTGAGCAAGTACTATCTGAAACTGTAAAATTGGCTGATCTTTGAAATAAAATTTATTTTAGTTGTGGGATGTTAACAAATTGAACTGAAAGTAACATTCACTCCCTCCATAGCCCTCCTCCCAAGAACAAAAAGCTCTTACTGAAGTATATAAACTCAACTCTTTTAAATCTAAAGAACATTGATTGTTTAAACATTTCTGATAAGACAATAAATGCTCCAGAATAATCAATATATGCTTGCAAAGATTACACTGTTTGATTGCAATAACAAAAACAAAACAAAAAAAGAAAAAAGGAAAGAAAGAAAAGACACTTCAAAATTTCAAGCTAAAATATGTGTAAAGACAAGTTATGGCAGTACTTTTTGAAGTTATGTAAATGTCATGTACTTATCAAATAATGTCACCCTTATTAAATGTGTGCCAGCCCTCCCAGCCATGAATACTCCACACCTTGGCATACCCTGTGTTATTTCTCTTCTGGTCACCACAAGTGAACCCACTCTTCCCAAATGTCACCTCCTCTCTGAAGCCTTCACGATGCTGCGACATTTAATTCCTCACATGCAAGGCTTCTGTCTTACCTTGTAGACACCTCTTGGAGAATCTCATTTGTAGTGTATCCCCATGCCTTGCACTACAGTTGGTCTGCAGTAGATGTGCAACACATGTGTATTGAGCAAATGAACCTTATTTTAGTCATCAGATTAAAGGGGTTAATGTGGTTTGGAAAAGGACTAGGTATTTCCCAGAAGACATTCAGCAGGATATATAAATTTGTACAGCCACAGGGTAATAAAGCTGAAGGGAACGCGAGAGACTATCTGACCATTTTTAAATATTCAGTAACTGAGGCCTGGAAATGACATTCTCAGAGATATTCAGCGAGGAAATGGTAGGCCCAGAACCAGAACTCAGGGCTTGAGACTTCTCACTTTATAAACAAGTCAGCCTCTGCTCTCATAAGCTCCTAGATGAAGTCCCCTCCACAAATCACCAGCAGTGAGCAGGAAAGATGTCTGGGCCAGGTGTGTTCTCACCTTGTTTTGAGGCAGAATAGTGATGTCGTCATAACGGATTTGCCACCAAACGTCTTTATTTTGCCTCAGCAGTTTTCCCTTCTGCATCTTTAAAATCAGACCTATGATGGCAGCTCCCAAGGCAGTAATCAGGAGGGTGGTGGTGAGAATCACAGCAGTCACATCTAGAGGGCAGAGACATGTCATTACTCGGGCCTGCCTAAAAGAAGCGAGCACATCCTGGCACTGCCAAGCAGATGCCACAAAAGCTGCCCAGGCGTGAGTCCTAGTTAAGACGCACTGAGACTTCTTGGACTTGTCTTCTTTAGAAATACTTTTCTGACCTCCCCTATGGTTCCCATGGCAACTGCACTCACCTCCCCATTTGTACAGAAAGTTCCTTCGTAGAGAAATAACTTCTAATATCACCACCACCTTTTATTAAACATTTACTATGTGCTCTCCTTAAAGGTGTTCTCAGGTAAAATCCATCTCATTCCAGGGCTGGGCTTCCAAGCATCAGGTAACAGCCCCCCCCCCATTCTTTCTACCACCTTAGAAATGAAGTTCCTGAGCCTCAAATCTCAGGAGCCAGTTTCCCCTAGGGCAGAGGTTCCCAACAGGAGAGGCGGGCGATGTTGCCTCCCTGTGGGATTTTGGTAAAATGCCTGCAGACATTTTAGGTTGTTACAGCTAGAGAGTGTCACTGGCATCCAGCAAGCCACTGGCATCTAAGCAGCCTACAACACAAAGAACAGCCCCTGCCCCCTGCCACACACACACACACACACACACACACACACACACACACACACACACGAAGGTTTTCCCACCCAAAATGTCAGTAGCACTGCTGTAGTGAATCCTGCCCAGGTACCTTCCTCAAGCACCCACGCTGACCTATAAAAGTAGGCTGAGCTTCACAGAGCTCATTGTAAAATCCACAGCCAGGTCTGCCTTCAGGAAGTGAGCTGTGGGGCCAAGTGATAGTGGAGAAATTCCTCACAGGTCTTTAAAAAAAGAGAATTAAAGGTCCATGCCCACTTGATGTATTTTACTTGTCTCTGCCTCAGGTACAACCGAGGCAAATAAAACACACATGTCATTTCAAAAAGCAGGCCTTGGTCTCTTAATCCACATGTCTGCTGACCCATCCAATTTTCCCACCTTACCTAGACTCTTCAAATCCAGTCTGCAGGTAATCTAATTCATGGAAAAGCAATATCTTTCTGCGGGGTAGAATAATTGACTCAATCTTTTGATTTAAACCATGTCACTTCTGATTTAAAAGATGATGTGTCAATTCTCCAGCATTACTGGGAGTTTCTCCCGTGTTCGGTGCAGGTAAATCTCGTTACAGAGCACCTTGACATTTCACGGGCCAAAGCATCTCCCCCTACATGGAGAATTCCTGTTTCTACAATCTTGAGGACCTAGTTTGCCATGGTTATTTTATTTCCTGGGCCAACCCGTTTTGATACATTTAAACTCCATAAGAGTAGGAGAGAAGAAAGTGTCGTATCAGATCTGGACTGGGGGTGGTGACGGTGGAGGCAAGTAGAAATCGTATTAAGCTTTAGGTTTCCTTTTGGCTTTATCTTTGTTATGGCCGAGAGAACAAAAACAGAGATTTTTTTTCCCCAGAGATTCCTGAGTCCTGGCCAGGGCCTCTGCCTGAGACCATGGGCCAGTGTGACCTGCCTCAGAGGAGGACCAGGCCCCTGTAAAAGTACAGTTAATTGTGCTGTGTTCTCAACTGGAATCTAAAGTGGCCAAGCCATACTCACAATCAAGGGTAAAATCAATTTAAAGGCCCAAAGCTGACCTTTTTTGAGTTCAGAGAGCACTAGACAATGTGGAGTGGATCCCAAACTGGCCTCCCCAGCAGGACCCCCAGCCCTCCCACTCCGCCCAGGTCTCTTCCTATAGCATGAGCTAAACTTGAAGAAATGTCCCACCAGTACCTGATCGCTTTCTGATAGCTGCGATAGTGAAGAACAGGAAGAAAGAGAGACCCGTTTCCGGATTTCTGCAGGGCACAGACTGAGTAATCCATACGCCTTTCTCCCTGGGAATCCACCAACACGGGACCGGTGACTCCTGGAAAGAGAGAAGATTGCACACAGCAAGGAAGACAGAGAGGAACTCAGAACTCGAACTCCTGCAAGCGGAACCCACTCCCTAGCAGCCCTGGAAACCCGGCTGACAGGCCATGTCAGGGAATATGACAGAGGGTCCAGGAGGAGAGCAAAAACAAGCAGTGCAGAGCTGCGACCCTGGTGGTGGCGGCCCACTTTGGGTTTTGCTAGGCCTATGCTGGGGAGGCCCACTCACCAAGAGAAAACAGAGTCGGCCAATCACACGTGATCACGTGCACACATGCGTGCGCGCACACACTCCTTTTTTAAAGTCTAGCCTAAAACTGCTCCAAGTGAGACGTGAACTTTATCTTTCCCTGAGCAAGCTTTAGAAGAGAGTCTCGAATGCCTAAACTATTTCCAGAGTGTATACTTCTTCAACCACCAGTGGTGTACAAAGTAGCAGCTTTGCTACTTTGAATGAAAATCTTCACTGCTGCTCTCTCCTGAAGCACAAGTCAAAAAACTTCAAAGCCGTTCCTGTGCTCTATTTTCTCCTCTTAATTGACTCAGAACAACAGATCGGCTTGCTAACCTTCCGCCACACAGGAGGAGTCCACAGAGGCCCTAGAATCAGGAGCATGCAGACTTCTTGAGTTGGAACAGAGGGAAAGGAGCAGACCATAGCACTTTTCTTCCACCCAAACACATCAGCATGCATTTTGAGGGCACACAAATGAAAGAGGTAAATTATCACCTCTTTATCTGAGCTCCAGCCATGTGTCAGGCACTGCACTAAGCACAGAGTACAGCAGTGAGCAGGGCAGAAGGTCCCTGCCCTCAGGTAGCTGACAGTCAGCCACTATACAAGTGAATCATGGGGTACAATGGATTTGCAGGTGGGCACTCCAGGCCAAGGGATCAGCAAGTCCCAAAGTGCCAAGACCAGAAAGGCTTAGCTTATTTGAAGAACAGAAAGTTATCAGTTACTAATTTTATGTTAGAAAGTAGAGTCTTATAAGCGCCACAACAAAAATAATTGCTATCACACTTTGACCAAATACTGTGTCCAGACACAGTGCTATACAGGCATGACTTTATGCAGTCCTCGCCACTCCGTGAAGTAGGTAGGATGATTATCATCATTTTGCAGATAAAATATTTGAGGCACAGAGAGGTTAAAGTGTTTTCCCAGGAGCATACACCTAGAGGGTGTCAAGAGGCTGTTCCACACAGGAGACACGTTCAGAACTTATCCAATGCACCATAACACTATAGCATATGAGATTTCACTTTAGCTTTTAAATTTTTTTTGTCGGCAGTGGTGAATTTGAGCAAAAAAAAATTGCCTTTATGTCTCATTAATTTTGTACCCTGTTTCCATCTGCTTTCTACAGCCATTTTTTTCTATAGAAAAAAATGAAGAGTTCCTATCTGCTTTTCCTATTTGTCTCCCCAAACATAAGCAACAGAAGACTCATTCCTACTTACCCCTGGCAATCGCTGACAGGATCCTAAGATCCTCTTGCAGAAGGGCTGGGTCATCATTGGTGTATCTCACCCTGGCTGTGATGGTGAAATGGGATTTGAGTCTATTCTCTACAACCCGCCACAATTCATCCACCCTATCCAAGGAGGAAGTCCTGCAGTGACCTCCAAACATCCCGATGTGTTTCCAGCCCAGGTACCAGAGACTTTTCTGGAGCACATCACCAGTTACATGCATGGGTGGCACAAGTTTCACACAGGGTCATCCAAGAAGTCACTCTCCCATTTTGCTGTTTGTCCAACAAAGTCAAACATGGGGATATTCCACTCAGAGGCCAGCAAACCAATAACCTTGAAAGTAATCAAAAGGATGTATTTTCAGAATTAAGTTTATGCTACACTCAAACCCCATTGTTAGGTATCTGCATCAACTTTGAATTCAGTGACTCTATGGGTCATACTGGAGCCATCTTTCTGAATATTGATGACAATGTCTTGTATCCAACTTCAGGATGCAAGACCTCAGAGAACAAAAATAACAATAGTGAGCATTATTAAGAGTGTACTGTGTGCCAAACACTTTAGTAAGAGCTGATATATATCATCTCGATTCTTATAACATTTTTATGAGGTAGGTATTAGCATTACCCCATTTTATAGGTGAACACATGGGGGCACAGAGATATAAGTCATAAAATAGCAAATAGTGGAACAGGATTGGAATTCAGGCAATATGGTTCCAGGGCCCACACCCACAGCTACCACCCACTCTCTTAGTCTTTTTTCTTAATTTGTTCCTTATTCATTTCTCATCCATTTTTCATTCGGAGCCTACAGTTTTACAAAGAACTTTGGAGACACTGCTCTTAGAGGAGTTTATGATCTATCATAGGAGCTTAGACATATACAAATAACTTTAAAGTTAAATATACCCTTCATTTATAGACAACGAACTTATAGGAGTTTAGAAAAGTCAGAAATTACTTCTGATTTGGGAATTAGGGATATAGATGTAAAGATAGAGGGATGAAGAAAGGCTCTATGGCATTTGAGTAGGGTAGGCTTTGGACAGCAAAAAACGTGTCAAATGGGGAATTCCAAAAAAGAATAAGATTCAAATTCAAACATGAACTTAATTCAACAGGACCCACTAATAGTAGTTCTACAGTATTTTTAAGAGTGGGAACGGTGATGCTCTTCCATCTTTCAGCCTTTGGATCAATACCTCTCAGAGCACAAGATACCCAGACTTCCAGAAGCTAATCTCATTAGCCAGACAAATACAAGTCATTCATTTCTCTCATTTTCTTGCCCTAGCTTATCGCAATCTATCATACTCATTCTTTCCCACTTACTTTTACCATCACCGAATAATTTATTATACACACCAAAGGGAAACCTACACAAACGGTATTTTTTCTATTGAAAACCAAGCATTCACTTTCTTCTGAATGATGAGTCAATATGCAGCACCAAGTCCAAACAATGAACAAGTTTGTTCATGAACATCAACAAGTTAATGAGTGAACTTAACAATTATTGATTTGAAAGTCTTTTTAAAAAGAGAATATTAACGTTTCTAATTACATGGTCCCATTGTATCTCAAAGAAACGAAACTCGGGTCCCACAGTAATTGATAATAATGCCATCCCTATCAAGAAATTATTCAGGTCTGTACCATCATCTTAAAGACCACCCCTTCCAAGGGACACTCAGCCAGAGTTCCTAGAGGGCTGTATACCTCTGCTGCTTCTGGGCATGCTGGTCCAAACGGGGCAGAAATCCTTTCTCTCTGGACCTGATTAGTGAAAATAGCAAGAGACTCCTTGGCGCTGCAGGCTGAGTTGGTGTAAGTGAAGCCCCAGCTGAAGTTTCCAAGGTCTGCCAGCTCTGAGTTGATCTCGTCCATGGCAATCTGGAGGCCTGCACCCAGCCTTTGCATGCTGAGTGGATGGGAGATGTTCCAGGGAGCCTGGAAACCTACAGTGTGTTTAGCAGCTTCAAGCCAAGTCACCAGCACACTGGCAAAGAGTGTCAAAACTAGTATTGGGTGGGCATCATGGCTTTTAGCCCCCAAACAGAGTCTACATCTAAGTGGGGTCTCAGCACCTGTCCTGGGAGCCATGGATGGCACCCAACACCTGGATCACTCTGAGAGGCTCAGCCTTCTGACCACTCATGCCATGAGCTAAAATGAGAGTGCAGAGTTCCCTAAGGACCACAGCTTGCTTTCTATTCATTGTCATTAATTAACCGAAACCTTCTCTTTTCAGAATCTGTTGCAAAGCATCTAGAAGCAGCAGAAAGGGGCTATGGCAGGGAGTCAGCAAGGCCCTGGTAATTGATCTAGTGACACCACTAACAAACTTTATGGTTCTAGGCGAGTCACATAACTCCAACCCCCACCCCGCCCCCCACCCCCAACCCCAAGATCCCTCTCTTCTAGCAAAATGAGAATCATGAGAACTACTTAGGTGGAGGCAGATGTCCTGGGCTGGGATTCTGACTCCACCACGTATTAGTCATGTGACCTAGGACATGTTACTTCCTCCCTCTATGTCTTCATCTTCTGATCCATAAAATGAGGGTAGAACTGTAATGGGATCATCCCCGAAGACATACATTAAGGATTAAAAGAGATTGTATAAATCCAGTTCTTGGCACAATGCCTGGGCAAAGAGAGCCACTTCGTCAATATTAGATGAGGGTGCTGATGACCACGAGGATGATGATAATAAAGATTGATGACGCTGATGTCATAATAATGATACTTATTATCACCTGTTGAATTAATCTTATAATTTTCCTTGAAAAAGTGAGCTAATGGCTATGAGAGGGTTCATTCACAACTGACACAGTCTATGTTCTTCACCCTGGCCTTTGGCACCAGAGAAAGTTTACTGATAAATGAATACTAACTCTCCCTCTACATAGGTCAGGGCGAGGAGCGGGAGGCAGCTCTTGGTTGAAGAATTACATAAAAAGTACTACAGATGTAATACTTTACAATAAAACACTACTTTATATGAAGCATTAAAGGATTGGCAAGACCTGGGGAAGCCATTGCTATTCCCAGAGATGATGACCCAGCCGTGAGTGGCAAATGCACATTGGTATGAAGGGTTCAGTTTCCACCTACCATGGACTTTCTTTTGAATCACCCTGGCAGGAGAGAGGCTGGCATCTGCCATTCATCTCAGGATTCTGTATTTCAGCATGGTAGACTTGCTATGATTCCCAAAGCTTGATCTAAGGACCAGCTACATCAGTCTCTCTTGATGATTAAAAATACACAGTCTCACTCCAGGTGCTCCGAACCAGACCCTCCAAACCTTGGGTTTGCTCTGAGGATCCGCGTTTAATAGACCCTCATGTATTCCTAAGAATATTAAAGCTCGAGAAGCTCTAAGACAGTCTGAAGTGAGAGGAGGGAAAGAAGAGCCAATACCAAATCTCCTCCTGTCTTCCTCAGTAGCCTTAGCACTGGCCTATCTCAGAGGGCCATTTCCAACCCTGTGGATTACAGGGATTGCTTTTCTCCAAACAAAATTCGCCATAACTGCTTCTTCCCTGATCTTCAGATTCTCTCTCTCCTCTGCTAGGACAGCATAGCATCAATTTGCAAAGTCATGTGAGTCTAATCCTAGGTAGAATTCCATGGATTTTTTTTTTTTTTTTCCCGGCTCAGAAGCTTACTAGATGTATGTGGCCTTGGGTAAGTCAGTTAACCTGTGCCTTAGTTTGTTCAACTGCATAAAAAGTTTAACAATGCCCTTCTCAAGGGATATTGTGAAATTACGTAATTACTTAGCACAGTGCCTCACATTTAGTAGAAATTCTGTAGAAGAGTACTCTTAATGGATCTCAAAACTAGGATTCTGAGAACAGTATTTTATTATATATTCTGTGTCCCCTCTCCCCGTTCCATATATAAACTTCTTAAAATCTGTACTCCCACTCTGGATAATTCCAGATTCTTTGTGTTTACTGATTTTCTTTCTCTGAGAATCTTTGAGGAAAGGTGACTGCGTGTTCCTCTTGGATCCTCAGATCCAGCACAGTTTGGGGTCTTTATATATGCAAATTAATGTTAATTTTGTTGTTGTTGTATTTGTAAGTGCTCACCAGTGAGCATGGTCAAAACCAGAAGAAAATACTGCTGACATTCAGCACTGGTGAGAGTAAAAAACAGACATACACTGCTGATTGGAGTGTTGATAGCCATTTTAAAATATATATCCAAATATATATATGCATCTTTGACTTTAATTTTGGAAATTTATCCTAAAGAAATAAGATCATACAATAAGATTTTATCACAGTACTTTTTTATAACAGTTAAAAATTAGACACAAACTTTGTGTCCCACAGCGAGGTCCTGAATAAATAACATATAGTGAATCTATGGCACTGAAGACCAGGCAGTCATTAAAAATGAAGGCATTTATTGGCTTAGATAGTCAAAATGTATTCATTGAGAAAGCACACTATAAAACAACATGTATAATATTCCATTTTTGTTGTTTTTTAAAAAGCACATAGAGTCGAATGGTAAGATTACATACACCAACCCACTAAAAGTGACCCTCTCTTGATGATAGAAATTATGAGTGCTTTTTCTTCTCTTTGCTTACCTTAATTTTCATATTTTTTGTCTTAATGTCGATGATAAGGAATAAAAGTGAAAGTTTTCATTAAAAATAAACCCTGCAGATTTGCATTTGTGGAGTGAAAGCATGGGGGTTAAACTCACGCTTTCAGAATTCTTAGGTGAGGAGCATCTCACGCTCCTTGGCACTTGGCTGACCTCTGTGGCCTCTAATTATTCTCTGCTGAGTTCAGTCCCTTCCATTTCTCCATTGCCCTCAGAGAAGGAGAGAGAGAGATGTTGTGGTCCAGGTAATGGTGATCATCTGGAAACCATTGCCATAGTAACAGGCCCATCCACTTTGCGCATAGTGCTTCTTTGGCTGGAGTGAAAATATCTGAGGTTAAAACCAATTTAGCGGGATTTATAGGGACTGAGGCTGCTAGAGGGAGCATGATATTCTCAGCTTTATTTCTCTAGTCCTCTTCTCTTCTAGGAGATTCTCGTGCCTACAAGTTACTGGAACCATGGTGGTTGAGGGAAGAGGCCACGTGGTTTCATCCGACAACGCTTTGGAACAAAGGTAGTCTGTGCTTGGCCAGCAGAAGTGCAGAGCTTGGTTCCCTGTCAGTGGGGGCAGTGCTTTCATTCCTAGCTACTTTATCCCATTCCTGTTTCCTGAAGAGACCATTACATAGGGAGGGTTCTGTCTGCCTGATTTATGGTTTCCTTGGTGCTAACCAGCATAAGCCAGGCACATGACAGCTGTTTAGTATCCAAGATCAGAAAAAAATGAGCTGTATTCAGGGTGGTGGGGTTTTCATAAAACCTCTAGCATTTTCCTAGCTGCCTGTCCTCCCCCCCTCCTGCTTTCCCTTTGTATCCCTTCCATTTGTAAATCAGTGATCTGACAATGTTTAGAGAAAAAGTGAAGGCGAGAAGTGGTAAAGGTATATGGCCTACTTGGAATAGTGAGATGAGCCTGTAACATCTTGGAAGGAAAGACAAAGGGAGAGACGCCATCACCCCACTTCACACACTCTGCCAAATCTCGTGCTGTGTTCTGGGAAAAAGCATCAGCCTCAGGTTTCCCCAGATGAATAAGACTGTAATTGAGCCTGTTTTCTTTTCCATGAATTGGGGAACTGGCAAAGAACAGAGACCTCTGACCTTACCAACTTCTTGCCCTAACATCCTAGGACTCTGGTGGCTTTATCACCAACTACGTACTCCACACTCGGTGGTGGCAATGAGTTTCTTTCCAGGTTTTGCTTACAGATTCCTAAAGGGAACATTCCTGAAGCTGTGGCACACCTGAACTGACCATCTCAGAAGTAAGAGCAAGTAAAACACAGCTACAATCTGTCAGGGTGCAGAGTTCAAACTTCCCTGTTGCGTCCACAGCTCTTGCAAATAGCTGAGACACCTTCCCTGAATATGAAGTTCCGGGTGAGTAAACATTTGAGGAGCCATGGGAAAGTGGAGCAAAGGCTGAACTTGTATAAAGCAGGAGATCGCAGTTCTTAGATCTGTAACAAAGCAACTTCTTTGGATCCAAAAGCCACTCTTTTAGGTAACCATGCACATCCCCTCCTAGAAGCACGAGGATGGGGCACTGGCCTTGATTTTCTGATGAGGACATACCTCCTGTTTCTGAAGAGGTTTGTATGAGGGAAGAGGATCCTGCCTCCTAGGGACTCTACCTGACTCTTAAGCACTTCAACCACCTGGTGTTTATCCTGTGCTGCTGATAGAGCCCCCGCCCCTCAATAAATCATTAGCATAAGGAGCAAACACTTCCCAAAAGGACTGGGGAGGTGGGGCAGCTGCCAGCTCTGGCTACTCAGTAACTAAAGATACTAAATGATTAACAGTGATATAATTACTTCCCAAACTACTTTCCACAAAAATTGAAGTTTTCCAAAAACACCTTTCTTGTCACAGTCTCTCAAACATTGAGTGAATAAAGAATATGTTCTTATCTTAATGCATATTTCTCTGCTGATTACATAGTTTTAACCCATGAGAATGATATGCTTCTCCATCCCAGCCAGTCAGGGACCTGTGTGGCCCTAGGCTTAGTGTCTGGGTGGCTTCTCCAAAGCGAGGGGAGATGTCCCTTCTGACTCCTCCATCCTCCTCAGCTTCTTGTCTGGAGAGACCAGAACCCTTCCCATTTCCTGTCATTTCCACTCTGCTCTTGTTAAATCCTCCCAAACAGCTCCTTAGCCGGACACTCAGAGTTGCTCTCCACAGTGTGAGCCCAGGATACCGAGGGTGCCATGCAGAGGACAACTTCTTCAAAGGCTTGGTGAAAAGGAAGTATTGATGCTTCTATCAGGAGTTTCTCCGACACCTTCCTATAAGGGAGCAGTGTAATAGAATGGTTAGGAGCACAGCTTTGAAATGAGACTTAAGCTAGTTTGGACAAGTTATGTATTATCTGAACCTCAGTTTCCTCATTCACAATTACCTGGATGAGCTCACTCAAGGATTAAATGAAATAATAGAGGTGGAGGACACAACAGGGTACCTGA